TGGCCTTGCCATAACATTTTTCTGTTATGCGGCAGAATCGGTCCCTTATTTTGTACAACATTGACAATTTACGCTTTCTATTAACACCAACGTTTGTCTTTTTTCCTTTAGGACATCAAACGGTTCATAGAGTCTTCCAAAAAAGGAGCCGTCCTGTTCAGCCTCGGTTCCAATGTGAAGAGCGAAATGTTAGGAGAAGAACGCATTCGAATGTTCATAAAGGCATTTGCAAAATTCCCCGATTATCACTTTTTATGGAAATTCTCTAACAAGGAGAAATTGAATTTACCTAAAAATGTCCTGTTGCAAGATTGGATGCCCCAAAAACGACATATTAGGTAATACAAAATTATTAAAACTTAATAAAATAAAACTGTTAAGAAATTGTTGGAATTATGATCAATTTTCAATTTCCAGGGCACCCAAAAACTGTACTATTTATGACACATGGTGGTCTCCTCAGCACCCAGGAGTCTCATTGGCACGGAGTACCCATGTTGGGGATACCGTTCTTTGCAGATCAGCACACAGTAAGAAAAATTATAAATATTTTAGCAAACTAGTGGTGCATAGCTCTAAACGCAAATTGCTGGAACTTCCCGTACCAAAAACTAAATCATTAAAAAATACTTTGCAACACTTTGAAAAAATTACATTTTTTGAGAAATTTTGAAATTTTTGTAAAAAAAATTGACTTTTTTATATTTCGATTTTCTTGTATTTTATTTTTTTTTTGAAAATTTTTAAACACTTTTTTAAGCAATAGCGCTGTATAGCTGATTTGGAGTCGAATTCGATGTATATATGTCTAGTGTTCATTTTTGAGGGGTCAAATGGCATTATTTTTTACTTTTTCTATTGGATCTCCGGAGACGCTGAACCTGCTTTTACAAAAATTTTACCAGTTGTTCATATCGTCAACACAAGTAAAATGTTTTCTGAATTATTTAAATCGGACGTTTCGTTATCTCAAAAACTAAAATACCATTTTTCGCACTTTTTGCCCCGTATCTTCGAACCGGCTAGACCTGCCCTTGTCAAAAACTTATGAGCACATCTACTCCTCATCAGTAAGAATTATACAAGGAGTAGGAGTACGTTTTTTGAATAATTCAAATCGGCTGATCCGTGTTCCCGAAATAGTCGACGAAAATTTGTATCCGCACGCACACACACACTCACACATAGATATATTTTTTCTAAGGTATGCCAAAATGTTCAGAAACTTCTGAAATGTAAAGATCAATTAAAATTTTCATTTTAGATTTTTTTGCGATTACTGTAGGAAGTTAATTAACGTGTCGAAGAAGTTATATGTGAAAAAATCCTATTTGCTAATTTTATATTTTCTCGACGTTTCAAGTCGTATTGAATCGTTCGACATCAAAATTGGGAAAAGCATGAGTTTGTATTTGCAGTTTTGTACCTTTTTCAAAACAGACTGCACCGATTTAAAAACTTTAGAAATCTTTCGACCAGAATTTGCTTTTATTAGTTTTGCGCCGCGATTGATATCTTTATACAAGAAATTTTTTAAGTAGCCATTTTTTATGAAAAGCAAATAAATGCATCCGTGCGAAGTAGTCGACGTTTTTGCCAAAAACCATGAACCAAATTAAAAAATTTCAAAAATTGATTAAAACATTGATTAAAACTTGCTTTAAGGCAAAATGCCACTTACACCTACAGCTTTTGTTTATAAAAATAATAGTTTTATTAGTTTCATTAAATTCATATGTACGCTTGCCATGCATATCCAAGCCTAAGTTAAAATGTATCATACATAATGTATGGGCAAGCGTTCTGTTAGGTTAGGACGGCATGGCAAGTCTCGTGATTTTTTTTAGAATTCAATCTATCAGTCCATTATGTATTCATTGCAACAACTTTGGAAGTTCCAAATCCCAATTGGTATTAAATTTTAGAAATGCTAAATCCTAATTGTACTTGATTATGTCTATTAAATTATTTACACATTCAGGGGAGGACCAATAAACTTGTTTGTTTTAAGACAAAATGCCACTTACACCTAGTTATACAAATTTGTTTTTATTTGCAGAACATGAAACGTTCGATTGATGCTGGAGTAGCTGAAAAACTAGACATTTTTAATTTATCCGAGGAAGCTATCATTGCCAAATTGTCGAGGATGCTCTCTGAACCCAGGTAACAACAATTTATAAATGAATATATATATATATATATATATATATATATATATATATATATAACTAGCTGACCCGCCAAATGTTGTTTTGCCATAAAAAAATTATTGTAATAATAATTCTAAGTATAAAATGCTTAGTACGAAAATAACTAACTGATTGCAAATGTGGTGCATAAGTGAAAGAAGCAGCTACCAAAAAATACATGAATAGTTTACCCACTGCCAAGCACGCCACATATAAATGTCCTTTAATAGTCTTTGCAAGAGCCAACTTAATCTAAAACTCATTATATTTAAATGAATACTGCAATACAAAATGAAAAAAAAAATACAACAAAAACAGTTCACAAACGACAGCAAACATTTTCAAAAAATGAATAACCATTTTCTAAAGAAAGAGACATTCGTTTTTTGGAAATGTCAAATTAATCACAAAAGATTTAAAAAGCTAGGATGTAAGTTTATAAAAATTTTAAATTGTCTAGAAGCAAAAGGAAGAGCTACGTTTATTAATCCTAGAAAAAATTAAACAAACAAATAAATAAATAAAACATGAATCTGCAAATATTCTTAACTTTTTTTCCAAATTACATATAATGCTTAGTATAATTATGAAATGTGTGTTTAAATTTACTCATATATGCTGAAAACATGGTTTTGATGTGGTTTGGATTTTTATTATTATAAATTGGCTTATTCATTTATTTAAAAATATATTGAGATTTTTTTCTATTATTTAATATTAATTAAAACATTGCAATCCACTTTAGTAATAGTCAGTAATTTAATCTTTAACAGTTCTGGAAAAAAGAGCTAAAAGAATTCTTTCAGTTTGTTGTCAAATTAGTGGTGTATGACATTGTACCTTAAAACTTAACTCAGACAAAATTTGATTTTTGAGAATTTTGAAATTTTTGAAAAAATTGACTTTTTTAAAAAAAAAGAATTTTTGTTTAAATTTCGTAATATTTTGGAAATTTTGAACTTCTTTTCAAAGCAATCGCGCTGCTTTAGCTGCATGGACACGAAATATGGAAGCGCTTAAGCGCCGCGTCGCTGTCTTACGATCAAAGTTACGGAACCCATGTTAACAAAATCTATACGTATTATTAGAATCTCTAAAATAACTGATAATTTAAAGTGCATGTCTGCAAGGATCATTTTTGACCGCCAAATGGCATTTTTTTACTTTTTTTTACTCCATCTCCGAAACCGAAAGACCTGCCCTCCCAAAAATTTTATCGTGTTTCAGAAATCGTCAAATCGTTTAAGGTAAATCATCTAAGGTATACCAAAATGTTCAGAAACCTCTGAAACGTAAAGATATATCAAAAATTTCATCTTCGATGAAAAGACGTGCTAATTAGTTTTTGACAAAGACAGGTCCAGCGACTTCGGAGGTATGGAGCAAAAAGTGCTAAAAATGACAGCTTTTAGGAGAGCGGATCAACCGATTTGAATTATCCAAAAATCATTCAATTCGTAATGATAGGGAGAAGTGGTGATTAGGTTTTGGCAAAGGCAGGTTCAGCCGTTTCGGACATACGGAGCTAGATGTGCAAAAAATTGCAATTTTTGAAAGTAATAAGCATCCGATTTGAAGATTCAAAAAACTTTCTGCTTGTGTTGACGGAACGATTGCTTTTGAGATTTTTTTTAATTTTCACAAAATATTTTTTTTAATATCGAAAATTGTACGAATTTTAATTTCAATTCGGTCTTAAATTCTAAAGCTCACTTATATACATAAAATAAATAATTTTAACTTTGCAATTCAGTTTATATAATTCTTAAAAATATTAGACAATGTCCTTCTTGTTAAATTCGAATGATTGAATTTTACTTACATTTTGGGTTTTATTTCATTCTCAGTAAATACATAAAAATATAGTATTTACAATAATATATTTGAACACATTTAATAATCCTCAAATACTTCATTTGCCTTTATTTGCTGAAAGTTCCAGCAACTTGCCTTAAGGCACGATTAAACTAGTTTAATCTAAGAATTGGTCCCTAAATCTAGACTTGTTGCAAAGAAGATGAAGTAGATTAAATTAATCCTTTATAAAAAAAATAGACCGGATAGTTTATCATCAGATGGTATTATTATAAAGATAATGAAAAACTAATAACTCATATGATTATAGACCCATAAATTAATCAAAAATTGGCCCATAAGTCTAGACGATATATAGCACATTGAATCATTTTTTTCTAAAGAAAATAGACAGGTGTGTTTATCATCAGATGGTATTATTATATATTGACTCATTTGCTTAAAATTAAAAAATCTTCTCAAGTGCTTTTCAATATTATAAAGAAATCAACAAAATTTATAAATAAAATATCATAAACCATAATATAAATTAAGTTTATTAATAATTATATTAAGACATTATTTAAAAAAGTGCATAAAACAATATTTCTTATAAAAAAATCACAAGAACGACTAAAATTCATAATAAAACATAACAATGATTATGCTTAAAACTATAATATATAAAAAAGGCACATCGTTACAACTACAAAACTTTCTTCTCATTATGTAGTTCCTTCGTGTGTCTTCTAAGACCCACTTTCTTTGCAAACGACTTCGAACAAATCGCACATTCATAACAATCCCCATCCACATGCACTTTCAAATGTCTATCCAAAAACAACTTCAAGGCAAACCATCGATTACAAATAATACACTCAAACTTCTTATCGTGTAAAGCCAAATGCTTCACCAAAGCAGCTCGTGTTGAATATGTGTTTCCACACACTTCACATTTAAGCCTCGCATAGTAATGTACTAGCTCATGTTTATCCAACAAGTCTTTTCTGGTAAACTCTCTAAAACAAATTTTGCACTCATGCAACCTGCTCTCGGTGTGCAGAAGCATGTGGAACTCCAAATACTTTTCTAAGGTGAAAAATTTATTACAAACCTTGCACTCGAATTGTTTGGCAGTCGTGTGAGACTTTAGGTGGTTGGATAAAACATACTGACTCGAAAAGCCTTCATCACAAAGCATGCACTTGAATCGTTTCGTATTGTTGTGGTTCATTTCATGGTAGACGAGTGCTGAGTTGTGTGGGAAGATTTTGAAGCATATTTTGCAGCAGAGGGATGGTTCTTGTTTGACTTCATCGATTGTCACCTCGGATTGTAGGAATCTTTGTAGATAAGTGTTGTCTTGTGATTCTTGTTTTATGTGAATTGAATCAGGGGTAATAGATTGAGGTGTGGATGTTTCCTCTTGGGGTTCTGATTTTATCACCAATTTATTCATATTTATAGATATATAAACCACTGCTTAAAGTGCAAAGGAGGTATCTAAATCTTACCATCTGTTTCATGTGTGTACACTTTACACAATGGTAATAAAGCACCTTATAACAACTTTATTGCCATTCAAATTTAATAAATTTGGTGTCTTCACAATTTCAATTAATAATTGAACGCCATTTTGTAATTTAACAAACTTGAAGTTCAGTCTTGAAAATAAATAAAAATACTTACTATTGAATTAAATCAATGCAATCAAAACATCTACATGCTTTGCATTTACTTTTAGTCTTCCACGTTTTAAATTAACAATATAATAAAATTATTATTAAGACAATGTAACCACCTTACCTAGCATTTAGATACACCCAACAAGTTTATTACAATACACTGTTATTATCCACCAAATCAATATATTTCAATGACTAACATAACTAGCTTTATGTTTAAAATGTCTTTTCACCCTGCCATGCTTTAATTTATTTAATTTTTATTAAACAACATTTTCGTTTTAAAACTTACTGAACACTAAACGTCAAATAAAAGCGTGCTTCCATAGGCAAAAGAAGAGAAGGGAGTGCCTCATGTGTTAAAGGTTTGACATGCTGCGGTTATCAAGCACTAGCGCCACTAGTGAGTTAATTTGTAAACTGAATGTGAATTAAATGTTTGTTTGGTGAATATTTTAATATAGTTGTAAATGGTAATTTTCCTGAAGCAAGCATGCATACATGAATTTTACGATATGCATAAATAATTAATAACTTAATCAATAAGAATTGAAATATAGTTAATTTTGTACTTGTTCAACTATGTATATAGCTATTTTGATGAAGTTTGTATCGTTTATTTTAAATATAAAGTTTTCGCTTTTACTAAAAACTAATCAATTTCCAATTGATATCTGTATTTGTTTTATTTTTCATAGCAAACTATACAATAAGTACATTCAGCTACAATTGTGGACAATTTGATGGCACCTTCTGTTATTATATCGTTAAATTTTTTAGTTAATTGCAAGAAATGATTCATTACATGCTTCAGCTTTAATTTATATCTTTCAAACAAACTTATAATATCTGTAATTGTACTAGTTATAGAGCACCAGCACTTTTCGCAGGAATATAATATTTTATAATATCAATTATTTTATTTCCAACCAGTTTAGTTTTACTCTCTTATCTATGGTTCAGATCAAGAATATTATCAAGTTTTATGAAGATCATCAAAATAGTATATCATCAATTAATTTTAAAGAAACGGTCGACTTGGTCATTGTCAAAAACTAATTGATTTTTCAAACTCGGTACAGGATTTTAAGCAAAAATCTAGGTAGACGAACAATTGTGCATTTATAAAGAATAGGCTGCTAATTATAAAAAATAGGCTTGGCTGATCATCGAATAAAACATTATTAAGAATCTTTTCAAGTTTTATGAAGATCATCAAAATAATGTTTCATCAATTAATTTTAAAGAAACGGCCCTTTTGATATTTGTCAAAAACTAATTAACACTATTTATAACTAAAATCTTTTGAACAGTTTTTGATTTTTCAAAATCGGTTCAGGAGTTTTGGAAAAACGTAAGCAAAGAATTTTGCTCTTATCTGCTAATTATGAAAAATTGACTCAGCTAATGGCGATTTAATTAATAAGAATTGATTTTTAGCTATTTAAACAAAATTCTTAGCTTTTATTTTAAAAATCAAGTTTAGCTTTTACGAAAAACTAATCAATGCGATTTGCAATTGTAATAAATTTTAAACAAACTTATAAATTCTATGAGTGTACTAATTTTAGAGCACACTTTTTGCAAGATTATAATATTTTAGCATGTTAGTTCAGATCATGTTTTTCTATCACAATACAAAGTTTCATCAAAATTATCAAAATAGTTTTTCAGCAATTAAATTTAAACAAACAGCCCTCATGGTCTTTGTCAAAAACTATTTAACAATATACAACTATTAAATTTTGAAGAATTTTTGATTTTTCAAAATCGGTTCAGGATTTTTGGCTAAAATCTAGACCAGTACCGCGCCATCCATATATAAATAAGCATATAAGGCGCCACCCCTGTCTTTATAAAAAAAGTAATTTCACATATATTCGATATTAATATTATAATTTAGCTATCAGGCAACATCATAACACGTGAAAATATACATGAAAAACTTTTTTTACTTGATTTCTACATTGTTGGTTTGTTTTGGAAAATAGAATTTAGAAAACAGGTGTAGCCCCTTTGGCACGCCACACAGGTTGGAACCCACGTTTTAGACAAACAATTAAACACCTATCTGCTAATTATAAAGAATAGTCTTGGCTGATCGTCAAGTAAAACTAACCAACATGATTTCTATTCAAATGGTTTTGATGAAAAATTTTGAAATCAGTGCAGTCGTTTTTGGCTCATCATACTCGAACTTTTTCCAATTTCCGTATCAGATGATTCAGAATGACTTGGAATGATTTCTGTCTCTATCTTATCTTTTTTTTTCTTCATCTTAACGTTATTTATCTCTCCCTCTCTCTCTCCCTGTCTACCCCTTCCTCTCTTCCTCACTCTCTCTCTCTCTGTTATATGATCTAATATCAGACAATAAAACCAGATAATCCAATTTTCTTCATTTCTACATATTTTTTTCATCTGTTTATTAATCACAATAAAAAATTTCTTCTAGTTATCAAGAAAAAATGACCATCAGATCCACTCTCTTCCGAGATCGCCCTCAACATCCACTACAAGAAGCAGTTTGGTGGTGCGAATACGTACTAAGGCACAAGGGGGCACCGCATTTGAAGTCTCAAGCAGTATCTATGTGCCCCTTTGCACTGTTTATGTGGGACTTGCTTCTAGTTTGGCTAGGAGTCTTTTTAGGAGCCCTATTTTTAGTATTTTATGGAATTAAGAAGATCTGTTGTGGGAAGGAGAAAGATTTGAAAGCTAGCGAGGTGTTGAGGAAGGTGAAGAAGACGAATTAATAAATAAATATATATATATATATATATATATATATATAAATATATGTATATATAATTATGATATTAATATTAAGTAAATAAATAAAAAAAGAGTGCGCGTAAGGATCACACGCGATTGAAGTAAAACTTTTAATATTGTATGAGTAGGCAATTAAGATAAAAATAAAAAAAACATCATATTTGAATTTTAAAAATCATCTTTTAATAATCATATAACATCAATAATAATAAGATCTCCTGAGCATCGGCACAGCTGTCCTACTGATATTAAGAGTTTGAATATGATGTGAAGCTTTCTTCCTAATTTTGTTACCTATCTTACCGGGAAATTCAAACCATAAACGTAGAAGTTCATCATTATCGCCACGTTCTATGTACACTAATTTTCCCACACAACCATTAGCTAAGCCATCACTTACATCAATATTAGTTGTTATTATGTAAAATTCATTCAGAACTGAAATTATTTCATACGGCAAAGCCCCGGTATCAATAACCTATTTTTTTGAAACTGCTGACGAATGTATGATTGTTGATCTGTCGCATGGCAACCTACATAAATATCCGTGGCAGTAGATATTATTTTGTCTTCAACGAGATTCAATATAAATTTATTATATTCCATGGCACATTTATTCTCTAAGAAAAGTCTTATTCCATGAGGACATAATACAGCAACCTCTTCTTTTGTAAAAAAAACGTGATTCAATTAATGCAAGTTCATATAGGGTTTAGCGGGTTTAGCGCTCGACTTACGCATGACATGACGGGAGTGGATACTCGCGACATCAGCGCTTACGGCGTCGTAGTGTTCAACTACACGTTGGCATTTTCGTTGCATTTGTACGGATTTACACCCGTGTCGCGCCTAAAAATTTTTACACCCATATCGCGCCTAAAGAAGTTTTACTTCAATAAGATAAGTTAGTTATATTTTGTTTGTTGTTGACATTTTATTTTATTTGTTACAATGATAAATAAAATAAGAAATTTTGTTGTTGAATGAATAAGTATTAATAAATAAACTCATCTAAATAATTATTGGTGTTTTTATATATTACTTCAGTAAAAATTTATATTTTTTATTATTTAAAAATTAAGTGATTAAAAATAATGTTCAATATTATGTTTTTATTAAAGTATTATGTATTCATAATGTGAAAAATTGTCTAAAACCTTGGTGAATAGTAAAAACATTTTAGAGGTCCCTAAAAAAGCAAAATACACGTAATAAATTATCTGAAAATTTTGGACGGTGTAAAATTTTTGCAGGGTTTGCAAAAATATTGAAAAAATATAACTCAAATATTTTGCATTTTAATTTAGCTTTCATAATATAACTCATTGCAAATGTCATTATAAATTTGAATGCGATTATTTTTTTTTTGAAAATAACAATTAAAACCCGTGATCAATTGGAGATTTAAAAAAAATATCAATAAAATAAAGTTTCACGTGTTTAGTCAATAATACGAGTTGACTAAAAGAAAATATCTTCACTTTTCTATTTTCATTTTCACGTGGAATATTTTTTTTAACTAATTCTCTTTTTAACTAACTCTTAACTAATTCCTTTTATTAATATTGTTATTTATTTAAAACAAATATATTTTTATAAAATATAAAAGTAAAGTTCAAGTCTATTATTAGAGTACGTATAATTTTTAATAATTTTCTAAAGATTATGTTTTTATTAACTTCCTGAAGGAGAAGTTTATGTTTTCATAAAAAATAAAAAAAAGAGTGCGCGTAAGGATCACACGCGATTGAAGTAAAACTTTTAATATTGTATGAGTAGGCAATTAAGATAAAAATAAAAAAACATCATATTTGAATTTTAAAAATCATTTATTAATAATCACATAACATCAATAACACAGTTTAAAACAACAACGACAGATTAATTGCTATCATATTTCATATATGATATAATAGGTTTGTGATAACTAAAATGAGAGACATAAATTTTGCTTTGTAAACTATGTACATTTCTGGAGAAAACTGCATCAATAGTCGAGCCATATCTTGTGGTTGAATCAAATGGAGAATTATTCATTGTTAAATTGAATTTATTATTTAAAAAATCAATTAATGGTTGAGATTCTTCTGAACGAAAATTGACATTGAAATCTCCAGCAAGAATTAATGGTATCTCGTTGTGATTAGTGTTTAAAAGTTTTGCACCCTCATTAGAAAAATGAAGTAACTGCTGATGAAGAAATTCAATAATATTTGATATGTTTTTATTGGGAGAAATTTAAAGGACGACTATAATCAATGTTTGATTCTGTGTGTTCACACAGCGGACAACTGCAATATCACCTACTTGTGTAATTTCATTAGGAATATCCAGTAATATCGTTGGCGCAAGAAACTGCATAGGAGTGGCATTATGAACAGTATCTGAACATGAATGATAGACATTAGACAGCTACACCACCTGCTCTTGAGTTTGATCGTTTGTATTGAGTAACGCAGTAATAGTTCTGAATATTAATTCGTTCTTCATTATTAATCCAAGTTTCCGAAAATAACAAAAACGTACAACGTTGTAGCACTTTATCTTGCAGATCAGGCAAATGAGCTCGTAAACTTTGGCAGTTAAAGAAAAACAATGAAATGTCGTTCAAACTTATTATCTCACTCAATTTTTCTTCTTGTGTTATTAATCTACAAGTTGAAAGTCTTTGGAATTCAGTTTTTAAGTCCATTAATCCTGCTGGCCGTTTTCTTCCATTATAAAATTTTTTGTCGTTGTTTTAGAAATGATGAACAATCCATTAATGCTGGTAACTCGTGATAATGCAACATATAGAAGCTGCTGATTATGTGTTTTATTGTATTCATATACAATTTTATCAAAAGTACCACCTTGTGATTTGTGTATTATGAGTGCACAAGCAGACACTAAAGGAAAATGATTTCTTTTGACAAATATGATTTTATTTCTATTCATTGGAATAGATGAAGATTTCCTGAGAATCGGCACAGCTGTCCTACTGATATTAAGAGTTTGAATATGATGTGCAGCTTTCTTCTTATTTTGTTACCTATCTTACCAGGAAATTCAAACCATAAACGTAGAAGTTCATCATTATCGCCACGTTCTATGTACACTAATTTTCCTACACAACCATTAGCTAAGCCATCACTTACATCAATATTAGTTGTTATTATGTAAAATTTATTCAGAACTAAAATTATTTCATACGGCAAACCCCCGGTATCAATAACCGATTTTTGTGAAACTGCTGACGAATGTATGATTGTTGATCTGTCGCATGGCAACCTACATAAATATCCGTGGCAGTAGATATTATTTTGTCTTCAACGAGATTCAATATAAATTTATTATATTCCATGATACATTTATTCTCTAAGAAAAGTCTTATTCCATGAGGACATAATACAGCAACCTCTTCTTTTGTAAAAAAACGTGATTCAATTAATGCAAGTTCATATAGGGTTTAGCGCTCGACTTACGCATGACATGACGGGAGTGGATACTCGCGACATCAGCGCTTACGGCGTCGTAGTGTTCAACTTCACGTTGGCGTTTTCGTTGCATTTGTACGGATTTACACCCGTGTAGCCTAAAGAAATTTTTACACCCATATCGCGCCTAAAGAAGTTTTACTTCAAAAATTATATTTGAGTTGCTAATTTTATGTTTTCTCGACGTTTCAAGCTATTCTGAATCGAATGAGACCGAATTTGGAAAAGGTATGTATGTGAACAGATATTTTGCCATGAATCGACATTTTCTCAAAAACGGTTGGACCGATTTTAAAAAAATAAAAGCCATTTGATGTATCTCGATGAAGGTTATCGTTTGTCAGTTTTGTGCGACGATCGGCCGAGACGGTTCTTTGTGATTTGTAAAAAAGTGTTGAACTTTTCGTTCACACTTAAGCTAATGCCACCAAAGATATAATTTGGGAATGATACCGATTAGTTTTAGGTGAAAATCTACCGAGCCGTTTTCTTGTAATTAACTGTTGAAAAAAAAATTAAGCCAATTTTTATGAAACTTTTTTTTGTCGATATATATCATGATCTTATAGAACTTGCTGAAATATTACGGCCTTATGAAAAGTAGTTTAATTTTAAAAATTCATCAAAGTTTGAGAAAATGAGTAGTTTTTTGACGTTTGTTAAAATTAAAATTAGACAATTTACTTGGTATAACGATTGAGTAATGGTGTTAATAAACATACTAAACCATTAAAGTCCTACGGAAACTGGTTCAATTATAAAAATCATTGATTTGTAAAAATTTGCTTTTAGAAAACACTCCGAGTTAACGTGATCGTTCGTTTTCAATGATGTCTAATAAATTCATTCGGAATACTTTTAATCACTCATAAATTAATTTGTTTTTTATTGATTACACATATCGGGAAGTTCATGTAATTTGCCTCAAAGCAAAACACCAATAGCAACTAGTTTCGTTTATATAATTTTTATAAATATTAAAATGTTAAAATAATTCTATTTGAAATCTATTTGAAAACATTTAATATTCCTCGAACCTTTCGTTACGGTACGGGAAGTACCAGCAATTTGCTTTAAGGTACCACCAGTTTTCCTAATTATTCAACTATTATATTTTTCTTATATAAAAATAATTTGTATAAAACAACCGTTGTGTGTCAGAGCCTTTACACTAGTATGACGTCTCCCGCCATCTCCCGCCTTTACAACGCTTTCGCGAACAGTCAAGCAAGTGTCAAAAATCAAAATTGTGGGTGTAGTCCTTCTATACAAAATAAAATAAAATCAAAGCCGGTATGTGAAAAAAATACACAAATCTAAATTAATCCAACAGTATTTATTTACCTCGTTCTAAAATGGAAGATACAAACTCCACCACAACTTCTAAACCTTACAAAATCTGCGACGCTTCTAGAAGAACAAAGAAAGGCATCGTCGCATCTAGTTTAGAAGACTTGATACAAAAACTTCCTGAAAAATTGGGGCGTACAGAACCCTCCGAAACCGTAACAATAGTCCTGGAAAACGACGGCACCGAAGTGGATGAAGAAGACTACTTCTCAACCCTCGAAGACAACACTTGCCTAATGGCTTTGTATGATACAGAAAGATGGACAAGTGAAATTCCCCAATGCCATATTACTCTAGACACAACCGACGACTCTTCGGGGCAACGAAGGCTTCCCAGCTTAGTCGGGCAACTCAAGCAAAACATATGCCACGTATCAGTCTTAGGAGGCCCTGATTTGGAGTTGCTGTCGGATATGGATCCTGATAGTGTAGCTGATATACTGTTTCCGAATGACAAGGAGTTTTTGGAGACTTTAAAAGAAGCTTCAGGGAGAATTTTGTGCGAGAAGAGGCAAGCTCAGGACGCTATGGAGCTGCTGAATTTGTATCATAAGAGCGTGCAAGCCACTAACGAGGAGGCTAACGGGGTTCAACCAGAAATGGCCTAAGGGGGTAAATGATAGATAAATGATAAATTAGACATGGATATGTATATATATATATATATATATATATATATATATATACTAGGTGTCCCGACAGATATTGTCCTGCACCCAAGTCTACAATTCAAAAGGTCCAAAATTTTTAATATCCTATCCTATACTTTTAATATCCTATTTGATGTCCTGCCTTTGTGATTCATTTATGGTCTTAGCATATGCAGTATAAGATTTTCAGAAAACAAAAATAGTATCTGCGGTGAAAGAACAGTGCCACACTTGATTTTACCACACAACATAATTCCTTCAATAATTTACTCTATAATTTTCATAATCTCGTATGATATATTAGTTGCTTTTTGGAAATTACAATTTTGAAAGTACATTATTCTTACTAATAATTCAATAAACATCATTGTTTATGTTCAAATCTTAGGTGAATTAATTTGTAAAATCTAGTTCATATGTGCACTATTCAATCTAAGATGAACTCGATAAATATTCTATATCCAATGCCAAACAAATGAATTTTTGACACATGAAACACAATTCTTAATAATTTTTTTTAATAGTTGAAATATTTTTTTGTATTGTTAAATAATGTAGTAAAGTAAATCATAATACGGCATGCATAAGTTTAAAAAAATAATGTATATGCAATTTTGGACTTATTGCATTATTTATTAAACTGAATTATATAATTTCATTTACCAAACATCATATTCTGTTGACTGTATCTTATATTATTTTAATTTTTAGTGCATCTCAGCTGCTTTTCGGCTATAATAATGTAGACATTACATTTTTCTTGTATATGATATTCTAATGTTATCTAGGCTCATAATTTCAGCTAATTTCAAATTTCAAGTGAATTCACATTTCTAGCAGATGACGGTTCAAATATTTTCAATTTCAAACAATGATAAGTGATTTTTGTAATTTTTGCCATTTATTTCTACAAAATTACTATATTTTTATCATTCGTTAAATCCTTGGACAAACTTCAGAAAGATTTATCAAAATCCGAATAATCGTTTAGGAGGAGTATCCTTTTACACATCATTACAGAAAAACGGCTTGGCCTATCTTTATGAAATTTTATAATCACGTTCAGTATGACTGAGAATCGGCTAAAATCTAATTAATTTTTATACCTAAGTGGTAAGATTTTAAGAAACTTTTTTTAAGAAAAAAATCGGATGCTTAGTTTTCTCAAAAACTGCCATTTTTGGCACATTTAGCTTCGTATCTCCAAAATGGCTGTACCTGCCTTTGCCAAAAACTAATCAAAACTTCTCCCCATCATTACGAATTGAGTGTTTTTTCGTCATTCAAATCAGATGCTCCGTCCTCTCAAAAACTCAATTTCTATTTTCTGCACTCTTTGCTCCGTATCTCCGAAACGGCTGGACCTGTCTTTGCCACAAACTAATCAGCATATCTCCCTATCAATAGGAATCGAATGCTTTTTGAATCATTCAAATCGGTTGATCTAGTATTGAAATCTAGTATCAAAACATACACAATAAATAATCGTCTTTATTTTTTTTCAGCAAGCATTGTGGATGAAATCTCAAAGCTCAAGAACCGAAGGTTATAATTTTTTATACGAACGAAACACCATTTAGACAGTTAAAGGAATTGACTAATTAGTAAGATCTCATTTTTATAAATATATATCAAGACTAAAAAAAATATGAAGTCAAGAAATGACTTTATATTTTTTGGTCGATTTTTTGTATTTTAAATTAAGTGTCTAAATATTACATGTGATATGAATTAAACGATTATGTAAAAATATTACAATAGGTTTCATAATAAATAATATTGGTAATAATATTACTAATTAATATTAATTATTACTGATTAATAGTAATAGTAATAATATTTTTTAAAATACAGTATTTTTTTAATACTAGAAATTAAATTTACCAAAGTACTTTGTTTTTGCAAATTGTGATAATCGAATTCAAAACAACTCGAATAAAAATTTAGTTTTATGTTATTGAAAACCTGTTGTAATATTTTGATATGTTATTTTAAGTATTATATATCTATCGATATAATTATTATATATTAATCTATATGTAATTGTAAGTAGAGAATATGGATCAAAATGTTGGACAATCAAATTAACCCTTTTCACTCGCTAATTCCGAGATTTATATGTATTTTGCCGCCGAAGCAACGGTATCCGAGTGGAAAGGGTTAAATATGAATTTGTAAAACAAAGATGTGATCAATAATTTGATTATAAATCGAATTGGATGGTCCAACCAGGGATTGAAGAACTAGATTTCAAAATTTATATAAAATCAATCAAAAATAATAATTATTATTGCGGCGCCCTTAAGAAGTTTAACTTCGTAATGATCAAAGAAAAATAGAAATAGAACTTATATTTGTTCCTTTTCTTTAAGCAAAGCATTCAAAATGAAAAAGTGAAAGAGAGAGCAAGTGAAATTGATGGTATATAAAGGAAGAGAGTGAGATAGCAAAAAGAGAGAAAGAGAGTTATTATCAGATAGAGAGAGAGAGTGAAAAACTCGAACAAAGGATATTGTGTGTAAAAAACAGAAAGAGTGAGAAAGAAATAAATAGATAGGGTGATAGAGAAATAGAGAGAGAGAGATAGGTTGATAGAAATAAATGTGTAAAAAACAGAAAGAGTGAGAAAGAAATAAATAGATAGGTTGATAGAGAAATGGAGAGAGAAAAATGGTAGATGGTTAAAGAAAGAGAGTAGTTTACAGAAATAATTGACCATAATTGTAATTGGTTGGGACAAGGGAGTACTAAATCCCTACCCATCCCTTATCTTAATTCTGGTTTTTGCGATGAGTGCCATAATATAATGTCTCGATTAGAGGGTAAGATCTCTTAAACAGGAAATTTGTAAAATAATTTAGTTAAAGGCATGAAACATCTCGCTCAGAAATATGGTATTTGATCAGCTCACACCGAAATCTAAAAACTTTTCCAAAAAAAAAGTCAAAATAGTGGCAATAGTATAAAACAAAGTTCAACAGAAGTCTATTTACCCACCTCATGAGATATTTCACTTTTTATGCAGTAGTTATTTTATTTTGCAAATGATCACTTCTTAGTGAGGAGTTTCATGCCTTAAATTAAGTTGTTTTTTAAAATTTCCTCTTTTGAGATCTTCTAATTAAAACAATTTTTTTATTGCACTGTTACTAAAACCAGAATAAAGATCATGGATGTGTAGATAACTATTTAACGCTTCTTAATGATTGTCATATCTTAAGTCTGATCCAATTACAAGTATGGCCAAACTTAAATACATTTGAATCTTTACACAGAAATAAATGACCATATTTGTAATTGTTTGGGACTCACTCATCATTAGTAGTAGTGCTAGTTCCCTACCCATCCCTGATCTTAATCCTGGTTGAAATGGTTAGAAAAATAAAGGGATTTACAGAAACAATTGACCATATTTTTAATTGGATGGGACTTGCTCATCATTGAAAAGGAGTGCTAATTTGGTGGAGATGGTTAGAGAAAGAAAGGAATTTACAGGAATAATTGACCATATTTGTAATTGGTTGGGACTTACGGGAGTACTAAATCCCTACCCATCCCTGATCTTTATCCTAGTTTTTGTAATGAGTGCCATAATATAATGTCTCAATTAGAGGATAAGATCTCTTAAACAGGAAATTTGTAAAATAATTTAGTTAAAGGCATGAAACATCTCGCTCAGAAATATGGTATTTGATCAGCTCACAACGAAATCTAAAAACTTTTCCAAAAAAAGTCAAAATAGTGGCAATAGTATAAAACCAATTTCAACAGAAGTCTATTTACCCACCTCACGAGATATTTTCACTTTTTATGCAGTAGTTATTTTATTTTGCAAATTCTTAGTGAGGAGTTTCATGCCTTAAATTAAGTTGTTTTTTAAAATTTCCTCTTTTGAGATCTTCTAATTAAAACTATTTTTTTATTGCACTGTTACTAAAACCAGAATAAAGATCATGGATATGTAGATAACTATTTAACACTTCTTAATGATAATCATGTCTTAAGTCTGATCCAATTGCCAAACCTAGATACATTTGGAGTTTACATATTTCTAACATCTGTTCACTATCATCAGAATTTCTAGAACAATTAATTAATTAATAATCCCGTCGTCATTTATGAATTTATTATCATTGCTATCAAATAAATGTGGAAGTGAGTACTTGCATCAAAGTTAATTGATTTAATAGTTAAAGGTAAATATTTTGTATATTTTTATTTTTGGTCATGTAAGGGAAGTATATTATTTTGCAACACTACTACAATACAATAACATAAACTACCTTCTGTTGCAGTTAGTTTTATACTGTAGCCCCTTTGTTCAGGGTCGCATTTTTTTTGAATTTATAAATATAAAAGTTTTAACATTTAGTTTGTTGTGTGACTGAAAGAAAAAATGGGATAAATAGTGTAATCAAAAAGGTTAAATAAAATAAAACAAGTACTTCAAGTATTTCAGCTAACTTCACGCCGGACTCACACCATCTCTTTCTCTCTCCTACTGGTATATCTTTCTTTTTCTCCCTTACGCATTCACTCTCGCTCTGTCTCTTTCTATTCGTTAACTAGTTAAGAAGTGGCTTTAGAAGTTTCACTTCACACATTGTTAGTAATAAGTTATTTTAAATAAAGTTCTTCAATCCCTCGATTTGTATTCATATTCTCTACACCTATAATAATAATCATTTATCTTCCTAAAGCACTGCTCACACTAATGCGATTATTTTGACCAAAAAATTATAAACAATAAAATGAATAACATTTGGACTGTCTTTATGCAATAACTTTTAAAAACTATAATGAACACATGTGTTTTGTATCTTAGATATCACCGATTAAAATAAATTTTTATAAAATATTTATTATTTATATATTTATATACACACATTTCACTTGTACGTTTTATTAATCTAGAAACGCACATGATTTATATAAATATATTTATAATTAGATGTTTTCGACACGATTTATTAATTGTAGAATTCAAGGTTTGTAGATTCTGCAGAAATGATTTGGTTCGGTTAAAGAATAAATATGTTTTGAATAAGGACTTCGAGGGGAATATGTATTATATATGTATGTAAATATGTATATGGAAGTTTTTTTATAAATCATATGATTTTTGAGCAGAATAGAATTGAAAAATTAGGTAAAATAAAGTAATAATAATGAAAATATAAAATATTCTGTGATGTTGAGCGGCAGTAGCGATTTGAAATCCACAAGCGTGCAGCGTTGTGACACTCGTGTGGAATTTATGTGGATTTCGGATTGCTACCGACGCTTGGTGTTTACTAAGATGTATTGTATATGTAATTATTTTTTTCATATTTTTTTTTACTAAAGTGGTGATTTTTTACCCGAAGTGATTTGAACAAGCAACCTTTTACGTCTATTTACACTATTAAAAAATTTATAAAAATGACAAATCTGGCAAGAAGTTAAAGTTCTATTTTTACAGAAAAATTCGATTTGTAAAATAATCTTCCATATATGTATATAAAATGCTAAATAGTTTAGAAATGAGAAGACTGTTATTATGTAAAGTAGGATTAAGTAGTGTGTGTATGGATGTCGTTTATATTTAGATCTTTGCACAAGGTAAAGTTGTATGAAAAATAATCCTTACACTTTATATACATGTATATACTAATTCTGTTTTTATACAATTTCCACATTTTTTCTTTCTGGAATTTTTTTTACTTTTTATTTAGATAAGAATCACATTTCACGAATAAGATTTCTCTAAAATTTATTTTTAGAGATATTTTTAGAATTTTATTTCTCTAATATTTTTTTCTGTTTGGAGATTTTTTTTCTTTCATTTAGATAATAATTCTATTTCATGAATAAAATTATTTAATAAAAGTATTTTAAAAATTACAAGTATATTTAACATTAAAAAATACCAATGCACACAAAACAAAAAAAACGCAACACACAATTTTTAAAGAACATTGTTTTATGAAAAAACAATTAATTCATTAAAATCATGTAAAGATTAACGAATTGTAAATGCACAGCGAAATGCAAAATGACGAAATCGTTTCAAAATTTAGATTTTAATCAATTTCTTTAATTCGTTAGTTTTACTATATTTTTTTATTTTTCAACCTTGCTTCGATCCTGGAACAGCATTTGTGAACCCCGTCGTTTCTATATGGGTTTGTTGTTCATTCATTAAATAATTTCTTTCTCGTAATGTTATATTTTCTTTAAACTTTGTAAAATATTTTTCAAAATTTGCTAACGTGCTGAATGATTGTATGACACATACACTATCGAAACGTACACAATAACTAATTACTTATTGTTTTCGAATATTTGGTCGCATATAAATATATATTTATTTATTGTGTAAAAACAGAATTAGATACATTTTATTATTTCCCATAAGCTTTATATAAACTTAGAAATATATAATAATCAATGTACACGTAGCTTTTATATAGACAAATATTCCTTTCGACACAACACAATTTCTATACTCTGCCAAAAATTAATAATTAATTATATTAAATATAATTTGGTAAACTCTGCGGCCAATTCTCTGATAAAACAGAAATATAACGGCAACGCTATGTTACGGTCCTATCTTCATATAAATTGTCAAAATTTTGATCATTAATGCAATGTATTTGCTGTGAAGTTGAGAGCTTTACATATAAAACCTAACTTCACGGATGTCAACAAGACATTAGAAAGATTAGACCTAACTTCATACATGTCAATGAAACATTAGAAAGATTAGATGTAACTTCACATATGTCAATGAGACATTAGAAAGACGCACTTATGATAACATTGTGCCTTTTTCAGGTTAGGTTTTGTATGTGCAAAGCCTGATTGCACAGCAAATACATAGCTTTTTGACAGTTTTCACTACCAATTCGTATGAAGATAGAAGCGTAACATTGCATTGCCAAAACATTTCTATTTTTCGGAGAATTGGCCCCTCAAGTACCAAAATTCCCAATTTTCAAATAATTATTTTATTTAATATTTTGATTTTCATAAAAAAAACAACTTAAAACAATAATAACGAAACAATCAAAACTTTTCGTAGGTTTTATACACTTCGATGTTTATCTGATATAACACGAATACTGATTTTTGGGTTTCATATTGTATCAATGGATTGCCAAATATATATTTTAATTGGCAATCGAAAATTCAATGGCGAACTTATTAATTGCATGTAGAACTAGAATATTGTAAATCTTAATTTTTTTATGAAAACCATGAACGTTTATAACGATGTCATGTAGTCACAACATGTTTGGGAATAAAATGAATTAGAAACAACAAAATAGTGATTGTATTTAATTTTCCTAAGTTTGTTTTCTCGACGTTTCAAGTCATTCTGAATCGAATGAGACCAAATTTGGAAAAAGTATGAGTGTGTGGTATGGGAGGGGGCGTTCATTAATCACGTGATCGATTTTTTAGGGATTTTTGAATCACCTCTCTCTTGGTGATACGTCGTAAAATTTAAAATTAGACCCCTTCCCTTCCCTCCCGAATCACGAATTTTTCGAATTTACAAAAGCATCATATTTTTTCTGAAAAAATAAGTACACGTGATATATCTAACTAGACGCCTCCCTTTTCCTCGTAATTTTTCTGTATATGCATACAAAGTCAACAAATATACAATAAAAAAAAAAGTGCGCGTAAGGATCATACGCGATTGAAGTAAAACTTATTTGCTACTGTACAAAGTAGCAAATTTAAGTTAAGTAAAAATAAATAGGTCATATAACAATTTTGAATAATGTTTATTAGTAATATGGTAACACTCATGATGCACACATTTATTAGTGTCGACCATTATACACATTTATATAATAATGAATTGTAAATTACATATTTATAGTAGCATTAAAAATATTTTTAATATTTAAAAACAATAATGTAATTAAAGTCATACTTCAAATATGACATGATCGGTTTGTCATTGTAATTAGCATTTAGAAATGAGAAATGAAGTAATTGCTGATCAATAAATTTTATAATATTCGTTTACACAGCAAATTATGTTAAACAACGTTTTTTTTTACTTTTTCGCTGGCGATATTATCTCATTCTTTGAACAGCTGTAATATCTATCTTGCCTATAATTTTTTTCCATTTTAATAACTTCTAAAATTTATAGAAACTACGGATAATATAGAAATAATTTCTAATCAATTAACTTACGTTTAGTTCCCGGAACAAATGTTTAATTTGTTTCATTATTTTCAAGGAACAGGGTAAAATATTCTTCTGATTCAGGCATTTTTCATTAAATCAAGATTTGTACTACGATGTAACTTTAAAATGTTTATTAATCCATGCCGATTTCCTTATTGATATCGGTTCGCATACAACGTTGATTCCGGTACACATACAACGGCAGATCTCTATTCACATACACGACGACTAATCACAATCGACCCGTATAGAAATTATATCATCGAGAGCGAATGACGAATCATTGGCACTCGACTCTTATCTGCCGTAACGCACTTCCGTTGCATTTGTACGGATTTACTCCCTAGTCGCGCCTAAAGAAGTTTTACGTAAAAAAATATATATATATTGAAGATATGTATTGAAAATCGTTTTTAATGAAAGCAAAATATTTATTTTCAAAATAAACAGTTGCACATTTTGTCTACATAGATGAAAGTTAATTTATAGATAAAAGAAGAGCCTCAATTCTTATTCATTAAATTGATTATAGTCCAGTCATTATAGAAAGTTCACCTCAGAATTTGAGATACCCAGCCGTAAGTCTGTAAATACTTGTATTTTGCACCCTAAAAGTTGTCTCAAAACCTACATATGGTAGGGTAATAATTAATAGTCCAGTCGTTATAGTAGGTTCACCTCGGAATTCGAGATACCCAGCTGTAAGTCTGTAAATACTTGTATTTTGACAATAAAAAGTTGTCTCAAAACCTCATATGGTAGGGTAATAATTAATAGTTCAGTCATTGTAGTAAGTTCACCTCAGAATTCGAGATACCCAGCTGTAAGACTGTAAAAGTTATCTCAAAATCTACATATGGTATGTACACCCTTCCATATGTAGGTTTTGAGACAACTTTTAAGGTGCAAAATACAAGTATTTACAGACTTACAGCTGGGTATCTCGAATTTCGAGATTCTTACTTAATTTAAGTTTAAATGACTGGACTATTATTGAAATGTATTGGAATTTGCTTCAAGGCAAATGCTACTGACAACTAATTCAATTATTATTAAATAATATTTATACATAATTATTAATTATTAAGAGTTTTTTGTACATTTGTGATTCATCAAACTTCGTTTATCAACATAACCTCTATTACAAATTTCACATTTATGTGGTAGTACCCCCTTATGAGAAAGCAGATGTTTCGACAGACTTCCTGATTGTGTAAATGTCTTCTCGCACAATTCACATTTATGTGGACGCTCTCCAGTATGTATTAACACATGCTTTTTCAAATCCCCCAAATAAGTGAATCTTTTATCACACGTTTCACATTTATAGGGACGTTCCCCAGTGTGTATTAACATGTGCTTTTTAGCAGCACCCGAACCTGTGTAAGTCTTATCACATATGTCACATTTATAAGGACGCTCACCGGTATGGATAAGCATGTGCATTTTCATGCCACTCGATTGAGTAAATGTTCTATCGCATACATCACATTTGTAAGGACGTTCACCGGTGTGAAGAAGCATGTGTCTTTTCATGCCCCCGGCTTGGGTAAATGATTTATTGCATATGTCACATTTATAAGGTTGTAATTCGCTGTGTACTAGCATGTGTCTCATTAGGTTTGTGTAGTCTTTGTATTTACAATCGCATATACCACATGTGTAAGGACGTTCTTCGCTATGGGAGCGCATGTGTTGTTTTAAAATACTAGATTGACCGAAGGCTTTGCCACATTTATCACATTTGTAAGGACGTTCTGTGCTGTGAGAGTACATGTGGTTTTTTAAATTCTGGGGACGATTGAATGTTTTATTACATATATTACATTCGTAAGGTCGTTCTTTGGTGTGGATACGCATGTGTTGATCCAAATTGCCACTTCTAGCAAAGACTCTATAGCATATTTTGCATACAAAAGGCTTTTCACTGGTATGGATTTTGAGGTGTGTTTTTAAAGAACTTGCATCTGAAAAAGTCTGTGTGCAATGTGGACAGTTGTGTTCGATCTTATGAGCCTGGTTTAATTCCTGATCCTCTGTGACTTCTGAAGACTCCATGAATATTTCCAAGGGAGCTTCATCATCATCTGAACAAGGTTTTGATTTATCATCACCCCCTTGTTCATTTTCACCTTGAATCTCTTCTATTGAATAATCTTGTGGCTCAATTTTAATTTTAGGCTCATTTGTAAAGACAGCAATTTCTTCAGACATTTTTATATATATCACATATACATATATAAATGAATACTTTTTTAAATTTTGTTCAATCAATAATCCTAAAAACTTCAATATGTTAAATTAAATATTATTAAAAAATTAAAATTTATTTACTTGTCTAAAAAACAAAATAGCACAGATTTGACATTTCAAGCATAGAGTCAATATATTTTAAAAAAGATGAGACATCTACCATCTTTTGTAAATTCAAAGTATGCTCTATGCTCCGCCTGTCAACTCAAAAGCGAAACAAATCGACAATTTTTTTTAAATTTTCAAATGCTATTATTATTAACTCTAGAATGATTATTAGTTAATAAATAATTGTTATTAGAAAATAAGCAAAGTGTTAAGTACAAATTGTTACAGTTACCATTGATAAAGCTGGTAAATAATTGATTGATGAATCATCCAAATCGGATGCCTATTTCTCTCAAAAACTGCCATTTGTTCCACATTTAGGTCCAAATCTTCAAAACGGCTGAACCTGCCTTTGCCAAAAACTAATCACCACTTCTCCACATCATTACGAATTGAATGTTTTTCAATTATTCAAAAAAGATGCTCCGTTCTCACAAAAACTCGATTTCTATTTTCTGCAACTCTTTGCTCCGTAACTCCAGAATGGCTAGACCGAGTTTTGTCAAAAACTAATGAGCACACTCCCTATTAGTAGGAATCGAATGTTTTTTGAACCTTTCTCAAAAAACATTCGATTTCTATTGATAAAGAGATGTGCTGATTAGTTTTTGGCGAAAGCAGGTCCAGTCGTTTCGGAGAAACGAAGCAAAGAGTGCAGAAAATAGAAATCGAGTTTTTGAGGGAGAGAAGTGGTGATTAGATTTTCAAATGCCGTTTCGGAAATACCGAGCTAAATGTGAAAAAATTGTCAGTTTTTGAGAGAACTAAGCATCCGATTTGAATGATTCAAAAACTTTCTGCTTGATTTGACAAAATAATTGCTTTTGGCAAAAAAAACAATTTTTTTGTTCAAAAACTTTTTTTTTTGTATTCTGGCTAGAGTTCTAAAGTTCACTTATACACTTTAAATGAATAATTTTAACTTTGTAATTCAGTTTATAACTAATTCTTATAAATATTAGACTATATTTATAATAATCTATTTGAAAACATTTAATATTTCTAGAGCATTTTGTTACGGTACGGGAAGTTCAAGCAATTTGCCTTAAGGCACGATTCCATACACAACTAGTTATGTATACTATTACATAATATTGCTTATTAGGTTGTAGCTTGTTAATTAAATTTTAATTTGTTGAGTATTTATAAAATTAAATTGTTCAAAAATTAAGGTGATGAGGGAGAAAAAACAATCAAGCCCAGATGGTTTACAGTAAAATAAATTTATAATACACAGTATAATAAATTAAATAAATGTAATACATATAGAATAATATAATTCATAATACACAGTATAATAAATTCATATTTCACAGTATAATAAATTGTATGCTCTTCTTTTATCTATGAATAAATTTATGTAACTCGAGTTTAATAATTTGTGTAACGATCGTTTAAACATAGATAAAAGAAGAGTATAAAGCGTTCAAATATAAAATATAAAGTTTAAATATAAAGCGTTTAAATATAAAAATTCACGTTTAGCGTTGAAAATTGAAGCATAGAGATATTTGTGTAACATATCAAGATAAGATAATTAATGTCCAATCTTATCTTTCTAAAAACAAGCTCTATGCTTTCAAGTTCCAAAGCAAATGTCAAACAACAAGTTATTATAAACCTAAATTTGATTAAATTCATCATCAAATTTAAGAAAATTATTAAATAAAATAGTACCAAACCGTTTTCACACTAATATAAAAATGTCAGAAGAGACTAATATGTCTTTAAGTGGTCAGACAATTAAAATGGAACCACCAGAATACTTAATAGAAGAGATTGAAGGTGAAATTGAGGATGAATTTGATGCTCTTGATGATATTGTTAAGCCGGAGCCTTATTCAGAAGATGATGGAACTTGTTTAGATAGATTCATGAATTCCGATGTGAAGATTGAGGAAGAAGTCAAACAGGAATTAAGTGGGGCACCCACTTGTGAAGATGATGATGAAAAGTCTTCTGTATGCGATACAAGATATCTATTAGATCACACCAGAGAACAACCTTTAAACATTGAAGAACTTGTTAATCTGGACCAAAATATACATGCTCCTACAGGAAAGGGTTTACACAAATGTAGAATATGCGGTAAAGCATTCACAACATTGTGTAATATGAAAAATCATATGCGTGTCCATACTGGAGAACGCCCATTTAAATGCGAATTGTGCGAAAAGGCATTCACACAATTGTGTCATCTAAAATCCCACATGCTCATTCACTCTGGAGCACGTCCTTACAAATGCAAAATTTGTGACCAAGCCTTCAATCAATCGAGTACTTTAAAGACTCATATGTATACTCATACTGGAAAGCTTCTTCATAAATGCGAAACATGCAATATAACATTCACAAAATCAAGTGACATGAAAAAGCATATGATAATCCATACAGGAGGTCGCCCTTACGAATGTGAAATATGCCACAAGACATTTGCACTACCGAGTGAAATGAAAAAGCATATGATTATTCATACAGGTGAGCGCCCATATGAATGCAAAATATGCGATAAGAAATTTGCACGCGTAAATGGTTTGAACAGGCATATGCTTGTTCATTCTGGAGACCGTCCTTACAAATGTGATCAATGTGACAAAGCCTTCAGTCTATTGCATAATTTAAAAGATCATTCACGAACTCATACTGGAGAACGCCCCTATGAATGCCAGATATGCCATTTGACATTCGCACATTCCAAAAACATGAAATCGCACATGCAATCTCATACTGGAGAAAGTGATGGTCAATATGAAAAAGTCAATTAGGCATTTGCACAGTAGGTGTTTTAAGAAGACAAAGTGGGGAACGTGAAGGAACTAGTAGTGTATGGCATCGTGCCTCAAGACAAATTGCAGGAACTTCCTGTACCATAAAAAAATGTTGGAGGAATGTTAAATGTTTTCATATAGATTATTATAAATACTGTAAAATTGTCGAATATTTATAAGAATTATATAAACTGAACTGCAAAGTTAAAATTATTTATTTAGAGTATATAAGTGAGCTTTAGAACTTTAACCAGAATTAACCCTTTCCACTCGCGAATTCCGAGATTTATATGAATTTTGGCATCCCAGTGGCATCCGAGTGGTAAGGGTTAAAATAAAAATCTGAATTATTTTCGATATACAAAAACAAATTTTTTTTGTAAGAAGAAAATTAATTTTGAAATAATTATTTTCCAAAATCAATTGTTTTGTCAACACAAACAGAATGTTTTTTGAATCATTCAAATCGGATACTAAGTTCTCTCAAAAACTGCCCATTTTTGCAGATTTATTTCCGAATCGACTAGACCTGCCTTTGCCAAAAACTAATCACCACTTCTCCTTGTCATTACAAATTAAATGTTTTTTGAATCATTCAAATCGGTCACTCCGTTCTCTCAAAAACCCTATTTCTATTTTTTGGCTGGACCTGCCTTTGACAAAAACTAATCATCACTTTCCCTAATCATTGAACAAATTGAATGCTTTTTGGATCATTCAAATCGGTCACTCCGTTCTCTCAAAAACTCGATTTCTATTTTCTGCACTCTTTGCTCTTTATCTCCGTAACGGCTGGACCTGCCTTTGCCAAAAACTAATCAGCTCATCCATCCATATCAATAGGAATCGAATTTTTTTTGAACCATTCAAATCGGTTGATCCGTGCGCTCGAAAACAGGACTGAAAAATTGTATCTGTACATACATACATACAAACATCATTTTTTTCTGAGGTATGTCAAAATGTTCAGAAACCTTCAAAACGTCGAGAAATGTAAAAATTTTCAATTTCGATTTTCGGCGTATTACAATAACTTACCCTACGGAAAGTTAAACAACATTTTTTTCAAAAATTAGAAAATTTCTCAAAAATCTAATTTTTGCAGATTTTTTTAATATTGAGTCTTCGGTACGGGAAGTTTCAGCAATTTGCCTTAAGGTACAATACCGTGCACCACTAGGTAATTTATTTACTTACAATAATCTATTTTTAACAATCCCGTAAATAAATATAATAGTAATAATAATATAATATAAATAAAAAAGAGTGTGATAAAGCTAAAAACAGTATTTTCATATTACTTAGCATTTCAAAAAATTCGATACTTTGAGTTTCTAATAACACTAGCGGCCTGTTTAATAATATTTGTGTCTATAAATAAAGCTACTCACTACAATTAAATAATATTCATCCAAAACACTTTATTAAATTTAATTGAACATAATCAGTCAAAACCATTTGACATTTGACGTTTGACGTATGAGCCGCCACCGATTGTTTCATTATGAATTGCGCTCCTACCAAAAATTTTATATTAAAAATGTAAATTTTCTACGAGGTTTTGAAATAATATCTCAACTTTCCCACAACCTCTAGATTAGCACGAATTTTCCAAGACTAAACCTGGCCAAAAGCGTACAGTCTTTTTAGAGTTTTAGCAACCTAACAAATCGAGCTCTATTTTTATATAAAAGAATAATAACTAAGTAACAAGTTGTTATTTATTTATATTATATAAACCTATTGAATGTTGTTCATAGGTACCTCATAAGTACGTACGCCTTTTTATGTTAATAAAATATAATATATATTCACTGATTCTTTATTCGAGGCATTTTCAATGAACTTATCTGGCAACACACATACAAAATTGTAGGAATGATTCTCTAATTTATTTTAAATCTATATTTGGTGAAATATAACTTTGTGAATATCCAAATGCACTCTGCTGACCAAGATGAGTATTTGTATTCGAACCTGAAACCAATGGTTAGTAATTCTCATTAATACTATTTAATACATAAAAATTAAAATAATAAAAAATTATGAAATAATATTGATACTATTCAGTGTTTACTGTACATTTTATACTATTTATATATTCCATTACATGCAAGAAAATTTTACAATATTTAAATTTAAGTAAATAAATATATTATAATAATAATTTATAGTTCATTGATCTTCACCACGCTTCTGATTATGAAGTGCCATGTGTCTCTTCAAATCGTTCGATTGAGTAAATTCCTTATTACATATAACACATTTATAGGAATGCTCTCGTTTATGAATCAGCATGTGTTTTTTCAGATTACCAGATTGTATAAATTTCTTATTGCATATATTGCATTCATGGGGACGTACTCCACCGTGAATAAGCATGTGACTTTTCAGATGACTTGATTTTGTGAATGCCTTATTGCATATATTGCATTCATGAGGACGTACTCCACTGTGTATCAGCATGTGACTTTTCAAATAACTTAATTGTGTAAATTTCTTATTGCATATGTTGCATTCATGGGGACGTATTCCTGTGTGTGTCAGCATGTGACTTTTCAGATAATGTAATAGTGTAAATTTCTTATTGCATATATTGCATTCATGAGGGTGTACTCCACTGTGTATCAGCATGTGATTTTTCAAATAACTTAATTGTGTAAATTTCTTATTGCATATGTTGCATTCATGGGGACGTACTCCACTGTGTATAAGTATGTGACTTTTCAGATCATTTGATTTTGTGAATGCCTTATTGCATATATTGCATTGATGCGGACGTACTCCACTGTGTATCAGCATGTGACTTTTCAGATTACCTATTTGTATGAACGTCTTATTGCATATATTGCATCGATGGGGTCGCTCACCACTGTGAATACGCATGTGAATTTTCAGAGCACATAATTGTGTGAAAGTCTTTTTGCATGTACTGCATTCGTGGGGACGCTCACCACTGTGAATGAACATGTGCCTTTTCAGATCACTTAATCGAACAAAAGCCTTGTAACAGATTTCGCATTTGAAAGATCTTTCTTTGCTATTATTAGGCATATGTTCGATCATATGCTTTTTTAAATGATCTGATTCTGCAAATGATTTATTGCAAATGTCACATTCATAAGTTGATGTCTCGACTAACTCCTGTTTGACTTCTTCTTCAATTGTAACCTCGGAATTCATGAATCTTTCTAAACACGAATCATTATCTTCAGAACACGATTCAGATTTAACAGTAACGTCAGGATCATCATATTCATCCTTCATTTCGAGTTTAATGTCTTCTGGTGAATATTCTGGTGGTTCAATTTTAATTGTCTGATCATTCATAGACATAATTGTTTCTTCCGACATTTTTAAATACTTTCACAAAAAAAAATTAGAAAATAGTTGTGTGCTAAATAATAGTCTAGATCTACCAAGAATTTTTTTCAATGTGATAAATAATTTCAAAACTTTTACATTTGTTATTTGACATTTGAAGCATAGAGAGAGAGTACATTTCGAGAAAGATGAGACATTAATCGTGGCGCGTCTTTTCTAATTCTCTATGGTTCTAATCGCTATGTGTGTGATTGCAGCGCCAGACTAAATCTGAACTACGTGAGGCTATCAGTGTGCGCTTTTCATGTGTTTTTATATTTTTGTGTTATAAATAATAATAAACAAGTTACATCAAACAAACAAATATTAAACGCTCCCCGCTACACGCCAAGATGGATCCTCCACAAAGACACAGATATACCCACTCCCACTACAATTCAAGAACATATCAATTGTTGCCAATAATTATAAGAACAGAATTGACGTCCATCCTAATCAACTAGCATGTCATTTATACCAAGAAGGCCAGCCGATCAGAGGACCTAATATAACTTAATTAAGTATAATAATAGTTTTGGGGGAATCTGCTAATTTGTAAACAATTAATTATAAACAACTTGTCGGCATTCTCTGATAAATGTAATTATATGTATAGAAAAAAAACAACAAAAAAGTCAAAGTTTAATAGTAATTGACATTTTAAAATTTACTTCAATACACTTAAAACCAGTACATTCCTTTCTCTCCGACGTTGGTCACCACAGATTTAAATTTCAAAAATGGTAAGTGTCTCATCTTTATAAGTATTTGGTATTTATTCTATGCTTGAAATGTCAAACTAGTAAATAGATACTATCCAAACATAAATAAAAAAAATAGTTAAACTTATTGTCATAATTGAGTAGAACGTTGATTAAAATAAATAACTAAATAGTACTCAACCATTTTCAGTGCAATTATCTAAAAATGTCAGAAGAAACAATTATGTCTATGAATGATCAGAAAATTAAAATTGAACCACCAGAATATTCAATAGAAGACGTTAAAGGTGAAACTGATGATGAATTTAATTATGTCGATGGTATTGTTAAGTCTGAGTCGTGTTCTGAAGACAACGAAACTTGCCTGGAAAGATTTATGGATTCCGAGGTGACTATAGAGGAAGAAGTCAAACAGGAGGTAATTGAGGCACCCACTAATATAGAGCAATCTTTAAACATCAAAGAATTCGATGATCCAACACCAAGTAGGTTTGCTCATTCTGAAAAGCGCTCTCATAAATGTGAATTATGCGATAAGGCTTTCACAACACCATCTATTATGAAAAAGCATATGCTTACTCATACAGGAGAGCGTTCCCACAAGTGTGGAACATGTAATAAGACTTTCATAGAAAGCGGTAATCTAAAAAAGCATATACTTGTACATACCGGAGAACGCCCCCATAAGTGTGCAAAATGTGATAACACATTTACAACAATGAGTGCCTTGAAATCCCACATGCGTGGTCATACAGGAGAGCGCCCTTACGAATGCACGATATGCAATAAAACCTTCGCACATTTGATAAATAAGAAATACCACATGCTTACTCATACTGGAGAACGACCTTACAAATGTGAAATGTGTGACAAAGCTTTTCGTTCATCATTTACCTTAAAAGGACATATACAAACTCATACTGGAGAACGCCCCTACAAATGCCAAATATGCAATAAAACATTCACACGATCAAGTGACCTGAAATCACACCTTCTCATTCATTCCGAAGAGCGTCCACATAAGTGTGAAACTTGCAAGAAGGCATTTAAGCATTTGCGTGGGTTAAGGAAACATATGCTTATTCATAATCGATAACATTGTTGTAAATGTGAAATATGTAATGAAGCATTCTATTCATGAAACTAGTGGGGTGTATGGCATCGTGCCTTAAGGCAAATTGCTGGAACTTCCCGTACCGTAACGAAATGTTCGAGGAATACTGAATGTTTTCAAATAGATTATTATAAATATTGTAACATTGTCTAATATTTATAAGAATTATATAAAATGAATTGGAAAGTTGAAATTATTTGTTTAATGTATATTAGAACTTTTGTCACAATTAAAATTAAAATCTGAATTATTTTCGATATACAAAAAATTAAAAAAAAAGTTTGAAATAATTTTTTTTTTCTCCAAAAACAATTATTTTGTTAAAACAAGCAGAAAGTTCTTTGAATCATTCAAATCAGACGCTTAGTTCTCTCAAAAACTGCCATTTTTTGCACATTTAGCTCTGTATCTTCGAAACGGCTGGACCTGCCTTTGCCAAAACCTAATCACCTCTACTTCCAATCATTACGAATTGAATGTTTACTAGATCATTCAAATCGGATACTCCGTTCTCTCAAATTCTATTTATATTTTCTGCACTCTTTGCTCCGTATCTTCGTAAAAGCTGGACCTGCCTTACCAAAAACTAATCAGCACATCTCCCTATCAATAGGAATCGAATGTTTTTTTTAACTTCCCAAAGGGTAAGTTATAGTAATCGCAAAATAATCGAAAATGAGAATTTTTATATATTTTTACGTTTCAAAGGTTGCTGAACATATTGGCATACCTTAGAAAAAATGGATGTATGTGTATGTGCATGTGTGTGTATGTTTGTGTGTGAGTGTGCGTGCGGATACAAATGTTCGTCGACGATTGTGGGAACACCGACCAACCGATTTCATTTATTCAAAAAACATTCGATTGGTGTTGATAAGGCCACGTGCTGATTAGTTTTTGGCATAGGCAGGTCTAGCCGTTTCGAAGATACGGACAAAAGTGCTAAAAACAGTAACTCAGTTTTTTAAGAGAACGGAGCGTCCGACTTTAATAATTCAAAAAACATTTAACTTGTATGGACAAGATGAAGCTCTGATTAAATTTTCATGAAGGCAGGTCTAGCGATTTCGAAGATTTAGTGAAAAAAGTAAAAAAAAAATCCTTTTGGCGGTTAAAAATGATCATTAGACATATGCACATTAAATTATCAGTTATTTTATAAAAATTTCAACAATAAGTATAAATTTTGTTTACACTCCTATGGGTTCCGTACTGTATATCCGTTAGACGGCGACGCGGCGCTTACGCGCTTCGATATTTCGTCTCTATGCAGTTAAAGCAGTTCGATTTTTTTTAACTTTTTCTTCAAGAATACTTTTCAAAAATTTATAGTTACTCAGAAATCTAATTTTTTCAAAGTAAATTTTTTTCAAAAATGTTAATCTTTAAAAAAAAAAAAATGGTACGGGCAATTCCAGCAATTTGCCTTAAGGCACGATGTCATGCGCCCCACTTTGAAGAAACGCAATGCAGTTCATAGTGAAAATATGATGAAAATGTAAAAATACGATTATTTGTAAATAAAATGTCCATTTTTACCAAAAATTGTATTATAAAATAGAGTATATAAAATCTTATGACATATCATATATCATTTGTTTTGTTGGGATCACTTGTCTACCACGATCCCACATCACTCCGCGCTCAGTGTTGATGTCAATCCTATTTGCAGTTGATCGGAAACAGGCTCTACTTAATTGAGTTTAGGATTAGTGTAGAGTAGTTGCAGGTATTGTGTTCTGGTGCGAATGGTACTACTGATGCTGACTAGCTCAAGGTGGCTCAAAGTCAGAGGTCAGAGCTAGTTCTTGTGATCGCGATGACCAGAGTTCTGGACAAACTGAAGATGTATGCCGACGGAAGTCCGGGTCAGGGTCAGGGCAAGAAAAATGTGATAGTCCGCAATGATCCGAAGACTGGGCATACTGGATAAGTAAGCCAACAGAAGACCAGAGTCAGCAAAAAAAAAAAAACTAATAAAGGTCATAAATTTCCGGAGCCGCAATGACCCATCTATTTTAAACTATTTTTGAAATCTGGATCCGCGCTTATTTGCAATCTTCAAGTCGTCGGTCACCAATGGGGAAATGCGACTATTTGTAATTATAATATATAACTCACAAAAATTATTTTATGAAATGTTTGTTTACAAAAATAGGAATCATGACATTTGTCCGGATTCAATGTCCAGTCTACTATGATCCCTAACTGTGTTGATTATTTACAGTCTGTTCATCTGAAACAGTAAAATAAGATTTTCTAACCTTTTTATACAATATGTCAAGTATTTCCTTTCTATATAGCGCATCGGGTATTCTATTTTTCTTCTTCTTTTTCTTTTTATTTTTGATCAGATCACTTAAATAACTTGTCCTATTTCCAGCTTCATCAAAACAAAGATCATGTAATTTTTTAAAAGCATAACGAACGCTAATTCCTATTCTGCCTAGCACATAGGATATATCTTTTGGGGAAAAAAGCTTTTTCTCAGCTAAGAAATGACTTAGATAATTCCGTTCATCAAAACATGATTTGTGGAATTTTTTTAAGATAGAAGCTGTATTATTTCCTGACATGCCTAATATTGTGGATAAGTGACTAGCCGTAAACCCTTCTCTATAGAAATCATTTAAAAGCTTCGTGTTGTTCCCTTGCTTATCAAAACAAACATTGTGAAAATCCTCCAGAGCAGAACAAATGCTAGCTCTTGCTCCATGTAATATATTAGATAAATTGTTAACAGTAAAACCTACCTGTGAGAAATGGATTAAATAGGCTTTTACTTCTTCTGTGAAACAAAAATCATGAAACTGCTCTAAACTACTTACTGATGCGCTTAATATACTGCACAGACTCTGAGGATTAAAACCTATCTTATGAAAATCACTTAAAAGTCCTGTTTCCTTTCCTTTATCGTCAAAAAGAGTATCATGAAATTCTTTTAATCTATGAGAAGCACGAAATCCTGATCCACATAACATAGAGGATAAGTTACCTGGCTTAAAACCTACATCATAGAAATTATTCAAAAGTTCTGTCTCTTCCCCATTGTTGTTAAAACAAACGTCATGCAATTCTTTAAAAGCATTGCTAGCTTTAGCTCCTGACCCTACTAAAATACCAGACAAGTTACTTATAGCAAAATTCCTTTCCTTATTCCTTTTTTCAGTAAAATGTTTTAAATGCTGCGTTTTATTTCCTTGCTCATCAAACCAGAGGTCATATAAGTCTGTAAAAGCTTTTACAGCATTACTTCCGCTTCCGCTTAAAATACTGGATATATTAACTAGGTTTATTCCTTCCTTTTTTAGAGTTGTTAAATACTGCGTTTCATTTCCTTGCTTATCAAACCAAAGGTCATGTAAGTCTTTAAAAGCTTCCACAGCATTAGCTCCTGCTCCGTGCAAAATATCAAACACACTAGGTAGATTTATTCCTTCATTTTCTAGAGTTTCTAAATATTGTGTCTTATTTCCTTGCTCATCAAATAATAGATTATATAAATCTTCAAAAACCTTTGCAGCATTAGCTCCTGATCCATTCAAAATACTGGATATATTGGATAGGTTTATTCCTTTTTCTTCTAGAGTTTTTAAATACTGCGTCTTATTTCCTTGCTTATCAAACCAAAGGTCATACAAGCCTTTAAAAGCTTTTACAGCATTAACTCCTGCTCCACTTAAAATACTGGACATATTAGACAGATTTATTCCTTGTTTTTTTAGAGTTTTTAAATACTGTGTTTTATTTCCTTGCTCATCAAACCAGAAATCATACAAGTCTTTAAATGTTTCAGAAACTTTATCTCTCACTCCGTGTAAGATACTGGATACAGTAGTTAGATTAATTCCTTCTTTTTTTAGAGTTTTTAAATATTGTCTTTCATTTCCTTCTTTATCAAACCAAAGGTCATACAAGTCTTTAAAAGCTTTTGCAGCATTAGATCCTGCTTTACTTAAAATACTAGACATACTACCTAGACTTATTCCATTCTCTTCTAAAGCTTTTAAATATTGTCTTTTATTCCCTTGATTATCAAACCAAAGATCATACAAGTCTTTAAAAGCTTTTGGAGCATTAACTCCAGCTCCATTTAAAATACTGGATACAGTAGTTAGATTTATGCCTTCGATTTCTAGTGTTTTTAAATACTGTGTTTTATTTCCTTGCTCGTCAAACCAAAAGTCATACAAGACTTTAAAAACCTCAGGAACTTTATCTCCCACTCCATGCAAGATACAGGATACTGTAGTTAGATTTATTCCTTCATTTTCTAGAGTTTTTAAATACTTTGTTTTATTTCTTTGCTCATCAAACCAAAGGTCATATAAGTCTTTAAAAGCCTTAGGAGCTTTAGCTCCTACTCTATGCAAAATACTGGATATATTGGATAGACTTATTTTATTTTCTTCTAAAGCTTTTAAATATTTTGTTTTATTTCCTTCTTTATCAAACCAAAGGTCATATAAATCTTTAAAAGCTTTTGCTGCATTAGCGCCAGCTCCGCTTAAAATACTAGACATATTGGAAAGATTTATCCCATTTTCTTCTAAAGTTTTTAAATATTGTCTTTTATTTCTCTGCTCATCAAACCAGAGATCATATAAGTCTTTAAAGGTGTTAGGTGCTTTAGCTCCTGCTTTGCTTAAAATACTAGACATATTAGCTAGATTTATTCCATTTTCTTCTAAAGCCTTTAAATATTGTCCTTTATTCCCTTCTTCAACAAACCAAAGATCATATAAATCTTTAAAAGCTTTTGCAGCATTAGATCCTGCTCCACTTAAAATGCTTGACATATTAGGTAAATTGACTCCGTTTTCTTCTAAAGCTTTTAAGTATTGTGCTTTGTTTCCTTGTGCGTCAAACCAAAGATCATATAAATCTTTAAAAGATTTTGCAGCATTTGCTCCTGATTTAGTTAAAATACTGGACATATTAGATAAATTAACTCCATTTTCTTCTAAAGCTCTTAGGTATAG